CAGGACCATGAGGGACCCCCATTCTGGAGAGCCTGACTGGCCGCGGTAGGTGTGTGTTTGTCTGTGTTTTTGTGTGAGCGCTCTGGAGGGACTGCCCCTCCATCGGGGCTCTCACCTGGGTGTTTGCCGGCTGCTGCGTCAGCCAAGGTTTGAGCCCGGATTCGAATCTGTAATAAATTCTAGCATGCTTAATCAAATTGGCTCCGGTGGTCCATCTCTTGGGGACTCGCTCCGTAACACAAAATTTGTATTTTTAGCATGAACTTTTCCTCCTAAACTCAAACCTTAGGTATTTAACCACGTATTCAACATTTCCACCTTAATCATATATATAATTATCTCAGAGAGGAAGGGAGAGGGAGAGAGGGGTAGAAACATCAATGATGAGAGGGGGTCATTGATCGGCTGTCTCCTGTATGGCCCCTATAGGGGATCAAGCCTGCAACCCGGGCATGTGGCCTGACTGGGAATCAAACCCTGACCTCCTGGTTCATAGGTCAACACTCAACCACTGAGCCATGCCAGCTGGGCCCACAAATATATATTTTTTAACTTATACATGCCACGTACTAGGTTTAACATTTGTGATACATTACAAAGCAAAAATCTCTGCTCTTTTGAACCCCATATTCAAAAGTAGAGGCAGGTTGAAAATAGATAGTATGCATAACAGCTAAGTAAAATACATATGCACAATGTTCAAAAGTAAAAAGTGTTAAGTATTATAGTGAATTAAGACTATAGCAAGTGGCTTGTGAGTGCTGGGGTAGGACAGTGGCATCAGGTTGCAATTTTAAATTGAGGTGACTTCTGAGTAAAGATTAGGAAGTGAAAGTGTGAGTCACAGAGGTAGTCAGGGCACAAGTCAAGCAGGTCTGAAGAAATGGAAAATAGTCTGAATTGTGCTGTGGTTGAGCAACCAGGATGAGTGGGAACTCTTAATTCTCTGCCTCCCTCCCTTCCTTTTCTTCAGTAGCACTCCTCACCATCTGACATACTATGTGTATATATCTGCGTTATTTTCATGTTTATGTCATGTCTGCTTACTTATTCCTTCAGAATGTGAGCTCTGTGTTGACAGATATTTTTAGTTTTAACTCACTACTATATTTCCAGGTGCTAAAAAGTACCTAGTATAGTAGGAGTGCAATAAATATTTGTTGAGTGAATGAATAAATAAGAATATGGTAATTTCTATATGTAAGCGTTTTTTGGTTAAAACAGCAAAATTTGGGTATTACTGCAGTCACAAGCCATTGTGGCCTAAGGACAAATAAATTGCATGTTTTTATAATATGAATGTATCATAAAGTTTAGAAGGCTAAAAGCAAAATAACAAATATGTAAACATTATTAGGGAATATTTCTGGATACCATGACTTGGATTGAATTTTTAATTATTTTTTTTTAATCCTCACCTGAGAATATGCTTTTATTGATTTGAGAAAGAAGTAAAAGGGAGAGAGGGAAAGGGGAAGGGGGGGGGCGGGGAGAGAGAGAGAGAACGAACACTAATGTGAGAAAAACCAATAGGTGGCTGCAATAGGGATTGAATCTGAAAACCTGGGCATGTGCCCTGCCTGGAAATTGAACTTACAACCTTTTGGTGTATGGGACAACACTCCAACCAACTGAGTCACCCAGCCAGAACTTACAGTTTGTATTTTTTCTATAATACCCAAACATATAATTATATGTTAAAACTACATTTGAGCATTTGAACACTTTTTGAAACAGAGAGCGGGTAAGTGCATTGTTAAAGCTTTGCATTGGAATCGTTATCATTGTGGTTCAGTAAAATAAAATGTGGTGTACCTCCAAGAGCTGCAACTTAATGAACCTGGGGCCTCATTTGGAGGACCAAAGAAGTCTGAGGAACATGGAGCTCAATAATGCCGTTTTGTTTCATTAAATGTCCTCCCGGCCTGTATGGCCATGGATGTGACTTGTCCCTGACAGATGATAAAAGGCCGCAGACATCATTAGTGTCCATCACAGGACTCCTGACGCCTACTGGAGAGGCCTCTGCTTGCCCATGATCAGAGGTAAAATCTTTCCAGATTGATCTGAAATTACTTCTTTAGTGTTCAGATCTAGCCATGAAGCCAAGCATGGCTTTCCATTTCAACCTTAAAAACCTGCTTGTGAGGTTTTGAAATCATGTCAGCTCTGCTTTTCACAATGTTTTTAGGGGGTCACCATGTCCCCAGAAGAGGGCTCATGGGACAGTTTATTAGAATTTCAAAAAAAGTGCCACCTCTTGATCCGCTCATTACTAGGCACAACCTGACGCCAGGCCATTTGTGATTATGAGAACATGAAAAAGCTACAGGTGGTAGCTTTTTGAGCGGCTACTCCATACAGTTAGATGTTAAGGTGTCTGCTGTTAGACGTTTCTAAATATTGAATAGTTTCTTTACTTTCTTGACTTGTGTATGGTGGCACAGCGAACTCATAGGAATTAGTAGTGATGGTACATGCTGGGTTTTCAAGACTTGCATTTTTTAAATTTTTGTAATAAAATTATGTATATTAAAAAACAAGTAGATGGCTGAAATCTAAGAGACTTTTTTGAATGTGTTTAATCATTTAAACACATTTAAGAGACTTTTGAATGTGTTTAATCATGTTAATCACTTTATAAATGTGACGACGGAAAAAGAGCCCTCTGAATTTCACGTGATCCTAGTGTGTGCAGGTTAGCACACCAACGCACAATTTGTTACAAGCAGACAGACAGTGGAACACTAACATGGACGGTAAACTAGAATGAAATTAGATATTGAAATGTATTTCTTTCAGGCTTCCCATGAAATTTCAAATTTACACAAACGATCGCATTGAAAGAAGTCAGCGGGGAAAGGCCGTGCGAAGACGGGTGTCGTAGAGACGGAACTCGCCACACGCGATAGCCTGCATAGTCACCATTCCCTCGGTTGGTCCAAACATTTACAGTTCATTGTTATGACTGCCAACACTGGCAACTACGGGATTGTTGTCTCAATTAGGACAGTAAACAGACTGTCTCTTTTTTCTTTAATGAAAAAAAACCTAAAATGTAATACTTCACAGTTTAGCATGTTTATTCATTCCAACGAGCTCAAAAATAATGGTGTGACATCTGTTCGAGAGGCACTGGTACCTCAGATTTTGGCTGCCTCCCCACCAAATTGTTTTGTGTTTTTTTTTGGTTTTTTTTTTTAAATGAAGAATAGAGGGAGGTGCTGTCATCAAAAAATCTTCTGGCATTTAAAGTATCTAATTTTTCTAGAAATAAGGATCTCAAGTCTGTTGCTGGTGATAAAAAAAAAAAAAATTAACAAGGAGACAAATGCAGAACACAGCAGCAGTTCCATGTTTTTTGCATGAATTGACTGACTCGCTGGATGTGTTTCCACACTGGTATCATTATTTAGGTGGCTCCCCTGTCCCCTCTATATTTACCTGGATAAGCTGAACCCTGTATAAAGCAGTAAGAACGTTTATGTAGGTGCTGAGTGCATCTGTTACAGCCTCAGATAAGCGTCAACTAATGGTAAAGAGAAAACAAACTTTACATAGGCTCTGGTTTGACAACCTTCTATCGATATTATGAAAGAAAAAAAAAACGCATTAAAATTTAAAATAAACCTGGATAGAAGTTTACTTTGGAAGTTTATTTATCTAAAGCATAATTTGCACTACTGAATTATCATTCACTATATATTTTAGAATCTGGAAAATATAGTTCTTTTGCATTCATATAAATATAGCCATCACAAGGGAAATGTAGCTTTACTTTCATTAGAAATGAAGATGCGTACTAAGTTATATTGAAAACATTTGAGAATGGTTTTTAATGATACTGAGATTTAAAAAACACAGTGTATTTGTTTTTCTAGAAAAGAACAATGTGACATTTCCACAGTAAATGTAATGCTGGTTTCTTGATATTAAAGAGAACTAGGATGAAACACATATACTGTATATGACCCAATTCAACCAATGACCATAAATGCTAAGTGTTAAGAGTTGATGAATATTGTGATTTTTAAGTTTTATTTATTAGGTGCAAATAAGTTTGATCATCCAATACATACAAAAACTGTGCCAGACTCTGAGAGGACTAGAAAATATTAACTGAAATTTTAACATGCATTTACTAAATACATGTAGATCATTATATTGTTGAAATTATAGAAACGAATAATAACATATAATCGGTATCTTACAATCATTGGTTGGGATGGGAGTACTCTTTCCATCTTTATGAAATATTGAAAAGATAGAAAATCTTCAAGTGTTTTACCACCTTAAAAAACAGTAACAAACCCCATGCTGTTACTACTAGTAAGGTAGGCTTTTTTGTTCATTTGTTTTTAAAGAAATTCTAGATGAGATTATCTTTTTACAATATTTCTTCTCAAATGAATTTTATAGTCTTTCTTTTATATGCAAACTTCATTCATGCGGGCGATCCGTTAAGTCTGCTGCAGTAGTTGCAATTTATTCTGCAGAATATGTGAACAGACTCAAACATTCTGAAAAGCCATTATCATTTTTCTGTTTTTGTCTTCTGAGTTACTCTGTGCAGTCGATTATTGGAGGGGGGAAACCCGTGCTTCAAGTGAGTATCCGGTGCCAGTGGCAGACGTGTGCCAAACACCACTTACTACGTGTGGTCCCTGAACCGCAGGCTGCCTGCCACCTCTGCAGAGAGTGAAACCAGACTGTGACCTGGGATTTCTCTGCAGAGGACTGGCTGCTTCCCAGTGAGTGGAGTATGGAATATTTGCCCTTCACAAAAACAGTATTATATAAGCATACTAGTATACTGTCTCACATCAGCTGCTATTTATTAAAATCAGAGTTTAGCCTTCAGGACGTACGGCTGTCTGGGGCTATCATAAGTCAATCAGTCATACAAATGGACTAGCCACAGGCTCAGGGTATCAGAAAACTAGGTAATGAAACTTTAGGATTACCTAGTGGGGTGGTTTTGGTTCCCCCTCCCCCAACCCCCACGATAATATTCAAACATTTCCAAGAATATAATCATCTATTTTATATACTATGAATTCTGATATTTGTCACTTGGATTGGTATTTAATAAACAATTACTACATAGCCTCTCATTTAAATTATCACCGAAATCAGCAATAACTTTAGTAAGACTGTGTTGAATGCCATATGGGAGGGGAAATAACGAAATGAAAACTGTTCACGTAAATGGAGCAGGAGTGGGGGGAAAGTATTTCTTGACATGTGGCCTGTCACTTGGGAAAGGAAAAGGCCCATCGGATCCAAAATGCCAGCTTGGATATTCCCTTGCCACCCACTCCGCAGACAGACACACCACATGGCATTAAATGCTGTAACCTTTCCTGAAAAATGCCATTTGGCTGGGTCTGCGGTGGCGAGTGTGTAAGAACTCTTGGTCTCTCTGGAGTTTGTGATTTCAAGGGGAGGAATCTAGTAAGTAACTTGGTCTGAATTTTGCCCTTCGATGTTTGGCATACATGATTGGTGAGAATATTGGAAATTTTGGCTGTTTTCACGCTGATGAATAATTATGCAACTCGAAAACATTCTGCAGAACATAATGCTATAGTCACATCCACTATTTGCAAAAGTCTCAAAGAATATGTAGGGTATTTATGAAAGCTTTCTTCCCTTGGCAAGTAGGAAAACAATCTTAACATTTTATTTATTCTTCACAAATAGAATGCATATCCTATAAAACATTTTGTGCGCATGTTTCAAACTATTCCTTTTCTACAAATCTTTATATAACAGTAAACACATATTCTTCCATCTTCTAAACTTTTTGTATTCATGCGTTCTAAAAATATGAAGAAATTGTATTATCGGTAAAAATATTGGATGTATTTGTCATTATAGTGTAACAAATGCAAAATACTTGAAAAAAATGTTATAAACAAAAAACTGTATATGCCAGTAACGAGACATATATTTCCTACTTGTTTTTCATAAAAAGAGTTCTAACTGGTTATCTGTCAAGAGAAAAACAATGTAATTTTGAAAAATACTTCGTATCGTTCAGCTTTAAAAGATAACCATAACCCACGAAAATTACTCTGAATAGGTAGGACTTCTCCTACTGCCTACCGTTATGTGAAAAAGACTGCACCATCACATGACAGACTGCCGCATGAAGCCCTCGCAAGAGAAGCAAACTGATACCGCAAGCAGCCAGAACAACATAATTAAAATAGAATTCCAAGTTTATATTAATAGGCTCATAAGTTAATTAAATTCAAGATCAGCTGAACTTTCTATTTACACCAGCTTAGGCGGCCTCGGAGGGAAGGAACTCTATTTCAGAGACATATGTGGCTCGTTGCGCTTCTGCCATCCAGGTGCCGTTTCTGAGGGAGCACATGTGCACGGAACAGTTGGCAAAGGAGGAGAGAGATTGCTGTAGCTGTCTGCGCAGAGTCTCTCTCTAACGATACAAAATATGTCTGGAAAGAAAGCGAGACCTCTTTGTAAGATGACAAATTCCCCATGACTTTTCGTTTCTTCTTCGGCGCTGGATGTGAGCTAAGCATGTTTCTGTAAATAAGGATGTACACTTTGGCTTCTGATGTACGCATGGAACAAAAGCAGGTTCAGTAATCTGCACGTGATGGAGTTATCCGCGTAGACGGGTGAGACATCTGAAGGATTTGGGATCTGTTTCCCATTTTATCTGAACGCACCATGAACAGGTTGCCTGTGTAAGTAGAAGGATTTGTGAAAGCATTCGGTGGCATACATTACACTGCATTGCTAGGTTAAGGTTCTTTTCTTGATATACGACCAACTATTTAAAAAATCTCTCTCCAAAAGGAAAATACTAGCAGGAAGAACTCAAGATGTAAAAAAGCATTGCTCCCGAAAGGTCCTTTTATAAAATGTTTTCTTATAACGCATTGATGGCTGCTCGGCTAATTTTCATCAGGCTCCAGATGAGGGTCCACGTCTGTGGACAGTCTGAGATAAAAGAAAGCATAGAAAGCCAGGAGGAGGGCCAACAGAGCTGCGAGGACAAGGCCAACTTCCTGAGGGAGAAAGAGAAAGACTTGAAATTGATAAAATGAGATTGGCTGATGTTATCAGTTTCATCAGATAAAATAACCACACAGTTCCAGTCTCAAATGAACATTTTGAAACTAATAATCACATTCATTTGAACACTTTTGCCGTTAAGAAGTACCGTATTTTTCGGACCATAAGACGCTCCGGACCATAAGACGCACCAGTTTTTAGAGAAGGGAAATGAAGAAAAAAAGATTCTGAAACAAATAGTGTCCTAAAATATTTTATGTGCATTAAAACCCAACATCACAGTCATAAACACATGTAATCAACCCTGTAAAGTAAACAGCAGCATTTAGAACCATTTTAGAGCCAGGCAAGCACACAGAGACCACACAGAGCCGGGCAAGTAAAAAAACTTTTTTTTTAAAGTATATGTGTAGGCTATATTTGGACCATAAGACGCAGGGACCTTTTCCCCCCACTTCTGGGGGGAAAAAGTGCGTCTTATGGTCCGAAAAATACGGGTATATTTTGACAATATCCATTTCAATGGCAAGTACATCAGTGGGTGTGTCATTCTGTATTATTTTTATTTTTTGTTTCATTAATAGTAAAATTAACATTTATACTTTTGAATATATTTTCATAGCTTGGATATCAAAATGTCAGGGACAAGAAGTGCTGTGTGTGCCTACAAAGTTTATCTGTTCTCTATTTGGTTATGTTTAATTTTATTTCTTGTTTCAATAAATGTATTAGTTATAACACTTAATCACAGATCTAAAAAAAACAAAGTGATCATTTCTTTTCTAATGGGAAGAAACCATTGCAACAGTATCTAGATTATGCCTCTTTAAGATCTTTATTGAATACTAGAGGCCCGGAGCACGAATGATGGGGTCCCTCGGCCTGGCCTGTGCCCGCTCACAATCCAGGACCTCTCTGGTTTCAGCCAGATCCCTGCAGGCCTGGCCAAGGGAACCCAAGGGAATCCATGCACGAGGCCTCTAGTGTGCATATAAGATCCTTGGTTAATCTCTTCCCGCTCTCCCCCTTCACCCTATCCTCTGAGATTGATCAGTCTGTGCATTAAGCATCCACCCCTGGTGGTCAGTGCGTGTCTTAGCTACCAGTCAAATGGTCAAATGGTCTCTTAGATTTATATACTGTATTTTCCGGTGTATAAGACAACCAGGCGTATAAGACGACCCCCTAGTTTTACAGTTAAAACATAGGTTTAGGCCCATATTCGCTGTATAAGACTACCCCCCACTTCCGAGGCAACACCAGTTCTTTTTTTAATAGACCGCCTCTTTGACTCTGGCCAATCTGAGCAGGCTTTTTTTTCATTTCAAAAGTCGTCTTATATGCCGGAAAATACAGTGTGTGAGTGTGTGTGTGTGTGTGTGTGTGTGTGTGTGTGTGTATCGTAATAGTAGAGGCCCGATGCATAAAATTAGTGCAAAGGGCTCGGCCCTCGCAGCTCTGACTGCCTCAGCTGTCTCAGTCCTCGAAGCCCCAGCTGCCTTGTGGCCACAGCCCAGCCCACTGGTTGTTCCGGGAGGTCATTTGGAAGGTTGTTCTGTCGTACAGTCTAATTAGTATATTAGCTCTTTATTATATAGGACTAGAGGCCCAGTGCATGAGATTCATGCACTTATTTGGGGTCCCTCGGCCTGGCCTGTGCCCTCTCACAGCCCAGGAGCCCTCGGGGGCAGTCGGACATCCTTAATGCTGCTGCGGAGGTGGGAGAGTCTCCCGCCACCAACCCTGTGCTTGCCAGCCTGGAGCCCGGCTCGGGGCTTCTGGCTGAGTGGCACTCCTCCTGTGAAAGTGCACTGACCACCAGGGGGCAGCTCCTGCATTGAGTGTCTGCTTCATGGTGGTCAGTGTGTGTCATAGTGACCGGTTGTTCCACCATTCGGTTGATTTGCATGTTAGCCTTTTATTATATAGGATACATGATTTTGTTGAACCTCTAATTTTTATACTCTAAATTCTATAGCTTATATAATGAACACTCAGCTCATGAAGCATGATACAGTATAATTTATCACAACTGTGAAGAATGGCCCTGGATTTTTCCTTGGTGATTGAATGTGGGTCATATTAATCAATTATGTTGAAATAGTAGTAAAAAAAAATATTACATATAAATGGCAATATTCATACTATGTCTCAAAAAGCCTATAAAAATTTAAAATATATATACACACCTCAACAGTAACAGATCACGTGGCTAAATACAAAGAAGAGCAAATAGTGCCAGCTCAGAATCCTAAAGGGCCTGCCACTGCCTTCTAATTTTCACTCATTTCTCACACCCCTTCCTGGCATTATTTTACGAAGCAGTAATTTATTTGCACTCACATGAGTGCACTTTCCACTTCATTAGAATGCAAGAGCAATAATTCAGCATGTGCCAACTAATAAATGTTAAAAACACTAAAATGAGTATGTTGCTGGTGAGAAGGGGTCATGAGAAAAGCATTTTGGGAACTACAGGTCGGCGGGTGGATAAGGTGCAGTGTCAAGATTTACTGAGGCAAAAACAAACGGTGCCCGGTGTCGGTGTTTCACCCTCAGCTCCGTTCTGTGCGAGTCCCGCCGCTGGGGTCTCAGACCCGCACCTGTGCTCCCCAAGCCCGGGAGGGCCGGGGCTCAGCAATGCCGAATTCTCTAGGTCTCATTTCTCCATCTGCTCACCCCCACCAGTGCTGCTCTCACGTGAGAGCCAGAGAGAGCAAGCACATGAACAAGGGAAGGCACTGTGCTACTCCCAACAGCCTGTTACATTGCTTTTGGGAGAGGACAGGCTTTCTTTCAAACTCACCAATCTCCTTCCTAATCCCTCCTGGGTTTATGCTGGGTCCTCCCCTAACCAATCCTTCTATGGATCTTCTGGGTTTCCTGCCCCTTATCCAATCAGATCCTCTTCTGAGGTTTCCCAGGTTACACTCTGCCTTTTATGTGGCTATTCTGGCTACTCAGAGTTTTGCCTCCTCATCTGGTTCCTGCTTCCTCCCCTGTGCCATCTTGGTTTCTACTGCCCATGTGCCCAGCAAAGAACTTCCCAGGAGGAAACTGGTCGTCCCCCAGGAGACTGGAAAGCCAGTCCCTCCCCACCTACCCTTTGGGGTATGGGCGGATGTGCAGGAAGAGTAGTATAGGGGAGGGAAGGTGTTAATCCTCTTGGCAGAGATTCAGCAATCCCCAGGGTATCTGAAGCTGTAACTTCCAGACTTAACCAGGCTTAAGCATGGCCACTTTTGTGCCCTTTTCTTTCATTCATATCTAACTAGCTGCCTATGCTAACAAATGTGATTTATCATCAACATGTAATGTTTGCCTGATTGTCGAAATTATAAATCGACACCTTATACAGACTGTTAACGTCATAATTACATTTACTTAGATTTCCAAACTATAAGAATAAATACTAATAAAAGCCATGGGGTTGGAAGGTTCAGTGTTAACTATTTTTCTAAGATTTGATTTCTTTGCTCTGATATATAATGTCAAATGAAAGTGAATTTTTCTTTGCTATAGTTTGGAACATTTTGGCATCTCCAAAGGGCATGGTAGCATCAGACAGGTTTCATTTATTTTCTTACAGCCACAGCTGTGCTCCCAGACCCATCTGGTTACTCAGCGACCAATTCCAAAAGGGTGTATAAACAAGTGGCACACAGCTGCAAAGCCTATCTGTTCCCTAGAGTGGACAACAAAAATACCCAACAGCAGTGCTGACTATTCACACGTATTTAACGCAAGAATAACTTTTGTGCTCTTGATTGGGGGCCATGATTCTCATCTCATTGATAACTGCCTCTAATTGGTGTTTTTTTAAATCTCATCTTGTCTTTCCAAATAACTCTATATCAACTTACTGTACATTTTCAGAATATCCAGAGGCATGAAAAAAAGGTCTTAAGGGAAGGAAGCAGAGAACATTCACAGGAAACAAGATCAGAGGACCCATTAATTCAATTAAGTCTATTCAATATATGGTGTGGGAGGTGGGGGTTAAAAAGTATTGGATAGGGAGGTATAGCAAATAATTTTTTTCATAATGTCCTATTCTTTTAAGAAGATATGCAATATAGGAACTGCATGTTTAGAGGGTTAAAACACAGTAAAGTTAGAAAATACTTCTTTCAGGAGGCTGGTGACACAACCATAACTTAGAAACCTATAGGCATTTATGGCTCCACCCCCCTGGCCATTTTTAGTTTTAAATCAGCAATACAAAAAAGAAAAAATAATAATAAAATGTTTCCAGCTGGCTCATCTGAAAGGGTTGTTAGAAGGATCTGGTTGACACTTGAATATTTTTGTTTATATAAAAGAGAAGTTTTTGATACTAATTTTTTTTTATTCTTTAATTATGATTACTAGTAGCCCGGTGCATGAATTTGTATACATTGAAAGAAATTTAACTAAAAGAAATATTTTAATATCACCTTTTGCCCTTTATTTGGTGATTTTGTAATTTTTGAAATATAATCTTTTAATTGGACAGCAGCCATGTAGCACATATATATTATGATGCAGATATATTTTAGATGGTACTCATTGCATTAGTGGGTCATATACTAGGACATTTTGTTTACATTGATAAGACATAAAGATAGCTTCTCAATAGAAATTAATCCTAAATTCTGACTTCCATATCACATCTTATTCTAAATCATGACTGTTTCCTCAAAACGTTTTCTATTTCTAAACATACACTTACAGAAAGTGCTAGAGCCTCTGAAGTTAAGGACCCTATTGTAAAATTCTTTATATTTCCAGTTCATGATTTCTCAATAAATACTGATGACTTTACATGGTACTAAAATCTGGAAATGATTTTTTGTATATGTTCCTGTAAGATAATCACGTTCTAATAATCTTTTCACAGGTTCTACATCATGGTACTTATAGTAATTTTTAAGTTAATAACAAAGAATTAAGATTTATACAATTTATATGTAAAGTATATTAACATTATGCAGTGCTTTGGAAACTTTACAACAGTAATAATAATATCACATAACTCTATTACCACAGCAAAACTGGGAACATTTTGTCATCTATAATGTAGTCACACAATGCAGACTTAGTTGAAATAGATCATCAGGCCAATGACAAACATCCAAGGGAAGTCTTATTTATACAAACCAGTAATAACTAACACAAACACTTTTTCAATCTGCTAACGATTCATAAATGACTTCGATGGGCTAGGTTCAATGTTAAGTATTTTCCTTTTGACATTAACCTCTCCTAACAACACCGGGAAATAAATGGCATAATCTGTACTTAACAGTGGGCCAGCTTGAATTCAGCTGGACCATGGGAAGAGCAAGAGGCAAGAGGGATCTGGTCCTGGGCCTCTTTATTTTGTGTTCACAGTTGCCATTTCTGTGATTTTTCTATGCCATGCAGCTATTCATAGTTTCTGTAGATTTAAATTATCTTAAGACCATAACGATAATTCATTTTCAAAAATAAGTCGTGAAGGGGTAAACTATTGTTAAGATTATGGCCATCCTGTATCAACCAGATAAGAGTCAAACATGTTTGACGTTCATTAGTCCCTAGTTGCTTCTCTGACATTATCAATATGGATAAAATGACTCACTGGGGAAATTAATAGCATTAAATAGCAATGGCTAAAAGAAACTTTGCTATTTAAAACCCTATGCTAAAATGACAATGTAATCAAACTTTGACAGGGCAAACTAATTGGTATGCCATATTTGAAATGTAAAATACCTCCACGGTTTTGATTCTAGAAAGTTTCATATTATTTAATGAGCTCTTTACATAAATTTGCAAGCAAAGTAAACAATGTTTAAAGTTAAGGCTTTTCTCCCATATGCTCATAAACCAATATGACATGCTAGCTTATTTTTAAAAAGTTATGTTCTGATGTCAGAAACTCTTATGCACATACTTCAAATTGTAAATGAAATCCAAGAAAAATTTTTCTCATAAATAGATAAACAAATTCCACATTGCTTTTTAAAAAGACAAGTAATTGCACTATAAGGTAGACTCATCTCACACTGGGAACATAGTTATTTCCTTAAGCTAAAACAACAACAAAAGTTATAAGAACAGCCCAGCCTGGCGGCCCAATTGGTTGGAACATCTTCCCATACAATAAGATTGGGGTTTCATTCCCAGTCAGGGCACATACCTAGGTTTCAGGTTTGATCCCCATTGGGGTGCATACAGGAGGCAACAGATCAATGTCTGTCTGTCTGTCTGTCTGTCTGTCTCTCTCTCTCTCTCTCTCTCTCTCTCTCTCTCTCTCTCTCTCTCTTTCTCACTGTCTTCCCCTCTCTCTAAAATCAGTAAACATATACTTGGGTGAGGACTAAAAAAAATTATAAGAGCAAATACAAAGAAGGCTGTGTTTGAGAAAGTGGCATATATTTGTAGATAAATGGCTGCAGTATTTCTCAAATTTTACGTTACAGTTGTTCATTGTATTGTGCCACAAGTGGAGTGAGCTGCCCAATATTTTCTAAAAATAAAAATGACTTTTGTAATGTACTCATTACAAAAGACAACCATCAGGTAACTAATTGTAAAAGAAAAACTAAGCACTACTTTTAGAAAGGTTATGTTATGGAAATAATTTAAAAAATTAAAGAAATTTCTAATCAAATTAGAAGAAAACTTCAAAAGATGCATCATCTCTCTTTTACACAAAAAGGCAATCCACTCTTTTATTTTCATTAAAGACGGACACAGCACTAACTGAGGAGACTGTATTATAAAAACATATCGCATCACACGGCAATGCTTGATCAAAATCAGCAATCAGGAGTAAAAAGCAGCAATGTTTCATCATCATAGCAAATTCTGGAAGACAACCAAATATATCATCTGGCAGTTCAACAGCTGTTCCAGCTTGGTAGTAATACCTTGGCATTTGCTATAAGCTATAACTTTGAAAAATTGATTTTTCATCTGCCAGATAAAACCCAAAATCTCCTTTTAACATTTTAACATTTAAATAAAATATATGTACTAGTGATTCTAATTTGACACACTCGACAGTAAAGCCACCAAATTAATTTTTCTATTAATAGTTTAATTTGAGTATAAATACTTGGCAAAGAATTGACATGGGTAATAATGGAAATGTAATTTTGCTGAATTTCATTGTGCTAGCACAATGGATTAATATCTCCTAATATCATTCCCAGTCGCTTTTTTTGAGAGATCAAGTTTGGGAACATGATTAGAATTCCATCATAGAGAGTACTGACAACAATAACAATTCAAAGGGTAAATTTATATATATTAACAATCTAAGAATATAGAATTAAAACTGAAATTTAAACAACTGTCAAATGAAATTTACTGAAAATGAGAATTTTTTATTTAGGCCACAAATCACTGAAATGTGTAGTTAGTAGTTGGAAAAATAAATTGCAACTTTAAGTATAACTGGTTCTTGCAAGTGACACAGTGTTTTATTTTAAGACTGGTAAAATCTCAGGATAAGAAGGATGTTTCCCATTAAGTAAATTCTTTATAAAAACCTTCGATTCTGGCATTCGACTTCGATTTTGAAATGTCATAAAACATTTAGAACTCAACATTTATGCAATCCAGTGTTAGAAAATAAAGTGGCACGAATATACCACATTTTAAAGTAATCAAATATAGGTACCTTAATGCCTAGCGCTGTTTTCTTTGCTTCTGCTTTTAATTTGGTTGCTCGTAAAATAGGTTTGGTTTTTTTATAATCCTGTTTACCTAAAAAGAAATAATTCAGACAATGAGTTATGCTTATATATACTTCAAGTTTAACAGCCATCTGAAATGTCAAAGAATGTTTAAATAGAGTAAAATTGGGACACAGTTGCAAAGTAGTTCCCAGTTATGGAAACCATAAACTTGTCTCCCTAAGATCAACTTTTCCCCCTCCTTTACTTTTTCAGGAAGAAGATTTGACAGGCATCTTTGATTTGCTGAGCAGTGATTACAAAAAAAGACAAAACCTTCTTTTAGAGAATAAGATGTTTAAAGCACAGAGAATAAACCTGGTGGAAACATTTGGAAACAAATGTGTAAATAAATGAGTATACATAAGGTCCCATTAAGAGGTAAAGCTAACTTTTGACTTCATAACTGAAGAATAACATTCACTATAAATTTACTATTTATATTATATATTTGATATTCTTAATTATCTTATTATGGATGTTTTATGTATTGAAGTAATTAACTTAAGAAATATTGTCAAGGTTTTCTAAGTAAGAAACTCAAAAAGATAAATAGCTTTTAGTCACTGGATCTTTTAGAGAATAAAACATATGAATTTAACTTTTGGTTCTTTGAATAGAAGACAGAATAAATATGGCCAGATAAAATATATGGGATAGCTACATTTAGATATTAGTTTCAATTTTCTCTACCACACATTTCACAGCCAAAAATGAAAACTTAGTGCCACTAAATATCTTTTTTTTTGTACCATCTCATGAGCCCACTGAATAATAAAAGCTATCAGTCTGTAAAGAAAATAGATTTAACAACAGCAACAACAACAAAAGCACTGACTAGAATAATATGTATTTTTGTTAACCACACTCTTAACTGTGTCAAATGAGTCTCAAACATCTTAGTATGTTATTCTGAGTGGGACTTAACATTTGACCATATAATCCCTTCAGCTCTTTTATATTGTTATTCGGCCTTATTGTTTCCATCTTAGTACTCTCTTCCCTTTCTGTGATCAGTTCTTTCCAAAAATCACTTCTTTTTTTTCCTTTAATTTCCACATCTTCCACACACTAAAATAAATTTGAAAGCAGTTGATCTCTAAAATACATCATGAACATGCAATGCATAATATATTTCTTAAAGTATCTGTGTGGGAGAGTAGAAAGGATGAGCAAAAAAAAAAAAAAAAAAAAAAACTCAACGATACTAGTATGGACAACAGCATGGTGACTGCAGGGGAAAGGGGTGAGAGTGGGGGATGGAGGAGGGCACAGGGGAGAGAGTGGTGATGGATGGAGACTTGACTTGGGGTGATGAACACACAACACAGTGTAGAGATGATGTGGAACTGTGCACCTGAAACCGCATGACTTTGCTAGCTAGTGTCCTTCCCAATAAATTCAATAAAAAGGAAAAAAATAAACATGTAACTAAATAACATTTTAAAAAATTAGCAATGGCAGAAGGGAGTCCAATGGATGGGAGCGCTGAAGAAATGCTCTAGTTGTGTCCATTAGACACATTAATGGGTTTGTTTGGCTGGAGGCCTGTTTTTCAAAAAGAATAATATTCACTCTGATTTCACATCTCGATGGTCAAACTGTTCAGGCCATCATTCCTGCTCAGATATGAAGCTTTCCAGAACAATGAAAATGGTGACACATCAACTGTCTCTGACACTCACGGTTACAAAGCAAGTTTCTAATGAGAATCTTCAAATAAGTTTAACAGATTATAGATTTGAGGTTAAGCAGGCATTCTGTTCTATCTCATATTGCCCTATAATACGTAATCTCTAGGTGCAAGGGGGGAAAATAAGCAAATGAAAAAAGATTATCTTATATTAACCGGCACACCTTTCATACACATATGCAATATTCTGGATGGTGTGTCTGCCATAAAGCACATTCAAATATACCTCAAAGAGTAAATGTTAAAGTGAGAATTTATCACTCTACTTCACATCCCATATAACCATTGGTTAAATGTGTTCTATTCCGATTCAAATTCTATAATCTCAGAGAATAATATTGCAGATGTATGTTACATTTAACATGAACATTTGAGACTGTATTATAAGTAGATGATTTTTAAAATGATTGTACATCTGGCACTGCTCCACATAGTGAATCTGTCATGAATTCAGTATTCTCCTTGCTGACTACGAAATCCAAAAGTATATACTGCAACACATGGTTTCAGTCTGCTCAGGGAAAACATTTACAGCAGCCATCTATTAAGTTATTTATAACTAAAACCAGATCTTTCCATTATATCCAAAGAGGTTTTCAACATGTTATTTTTGTTATGGCTTCAAGAAGGAAACCACCTGGCCCCTATGGCTCCGTTGGTTGGAGCGTTGTCCTGTGCACAGAAAGGTCATGGGTTCAATGCCTGGTTTGGGCACATATGGGAGGCAACTGATCAATGTTCCAATGTTTCTCTCTCACACTGATGTCTGTCTGTCTCTGTCTCCCTTCCTCTCTCCTTACCTCCCTCCATTTCTCTTCTCTTTCTCCTTCCTCCTTCCTCTCTTTCTAAAATCAATAAAAATATATATCCTCATGAGGATTAAAAAAAATAAAGGATGCGATATGTTCACGATTGTAAAATATATATCATACAGAAGGTCCCACCTTCTCCTAAGTACATTTAGAAAATATGCACTTACACAATCTAGATTTTAGCTATAGATGGTTTCTTGATTACATTGTGTCTCATTTTGGTTATATTAATAATGCAACAACCAAACTAGCTATTGAGCAATTGTTCATTACATTTTATCTGAGGGAAAACCTAGATAATCCAAGCCAATGAAGCCCATTGGAGCAACTCTGCAAATCACATCTCCCTAAATTTTTTTCTTGCTGCTATTAATCTAATTTGTTGGTGTTAGTGTTTATTTATTTAATTACTTTTATGGTCTGATTCTGTAACGTTTATATTCTTTGTCATATACAGGCTCGTAGTTTAATTTTCATCTGATGGACCGATAGTTTTCAAAAATGCCTTGGAATAGTAAGTCTTCTGGCTTCACTGAGGGGCTGTGTGTGTGGTGGGGCATGGGGGATGGGTATACATTTCCTGGATCTGATGGGAGTTTATAGATCTGCCTTAGCCTTCACTTCCCGCTTGCTTCCTCAAGATCATCAAGAGAGGAGATTATAGCCCTTTATCTTTCTTGGACAAGGTATAGCTGTGCATAGCCTTCTGACTTTCTATGATTCCCAGGAATGTCTGTCAAAGATTTTTAAAGACTCTATGGACATCTTATTACCCAGTTTTTGTTTGTTTGTTTGTTTTAGGTTTTTTAGGTCAGTCACAGACTAGCCCCAACTACTAATGCTGACTCAGGTACCGTGTTTCCCCGAAAATAAGACCTAGCGCATGGAAAGATAAGACATCCCCTGAAAATAAGACCTAGCACAACTTTGGGAGAAAAAATTAATATAAGACACTGTCTTATTTTCGGGGAAACAGGGTAGTTGTAATGTTAAATACCCACACTCATTGTTTTGCTCAAATGACATGGGAAAAGGGCTTTTCACAAAGACTGAGCTCTAAATCAGCTCAAATAAAGACATTCTGAGAATGGGCTTCTCAGGGGCTGCCAGGCAGGTCAGACAGTGCCAGTCCTCAGAGGATTTCTGCCTTCTCCAGCGCCTGCAGGATGTGGTTTTTCACAACCACTACAGTTGCAAGAGGAAGGAGAGGAAAATGGAATTACAACAAGTTAAACGAAACAAAGCACAGTATTCTTATTGAAATTCAGCTGTTTTTCTTGAATAAACATTCTATGGATTGTTATAAGACTTTTGTTAATTTCCAAATATCTGAAAAAGTTGTTTTTAAGAATTAGCTGCCACTGTTCGTTTTGCTTTTATAAAGCACAGCGTTCAGAAATAAAGATTTGGATTACTCACTAAAGGCAAAAGGCTCATCAAACCAAGATCCTTAATAGAGACAAGATCTGGAATGAGTATTGGAGGAGACAGGTATAAATTACAACCACGATGACCAACCAGAGAACTGATGATAACCTGAACCTATATTTATTTGCTTGCTCCTAGAGTGTAAAACCAGTTTCCCCACACAGCCCATTATTTTGTAAAACCAGCATTATCAAATTTTAAAAAATATTTCTTCTTCTTCCTTTAGGCTGGGTCATTGGAAAAAAGAAAAGGAGGGAAGAAGGAAGGGAGGGAAGGAGAAAAGGAAGGAAAGTGGGGAGGGAGGGAGGAAGAGTATCACTAAGTGTCATTCCAGATCCTGAACTTATAGAACAGCAATCCCAGGACTGGTTGGGAAACACTGGTAATTGTTGAGGTTCCTCTTAGATCCTCTTCGGGTTTATCCTATATATTAAAATGTTAATATGCAAATTGACCAAACAGGGGAACAACCAGTCACTATGGCATGCACTGACCACCAGGGGGCAAACACTCAACGCAGGAGCTGCCCCCTGGTGCTCAGCCAGAAGCCAGTCTGACAGCAAGTGAGTGCAGTGGTGGCGGCAGAGCAGCGCTAAGGATGTCCCACTGCAGGCTTAGGCCTGCCCCCCCTAAGCCATCAGTTAACACCCCCCAAGGGCTTCTGGACTGCAAAAAGGCACAGGCCGGGCTGAGGGAACACCCCCTCCCCCGCCCTGAGTGCACAAATGTCGTGCACCAGGCCTCTAGTTTTCATGATAAAAGAAAGACAAAAATCCAAATTGAGATAACATGAAAATGAGGGAGAGGAAGGGAAAAGAGGAGAGAGAGATGTAGATTAACTGATTACTGACTGATTCCAGGAGTTAAGCATAGGAGTTTAGTTGCGATTGACATGAATTCAAGTCTTGACTGACTATGCAGAATTTTCTCTTTCCACCACCAGCTTCTATTTCTTGCTTCACTCTGGAATCATGGCTATATCCAGCTTTGGCTCACACCCCTTTAAAACTAAGACCAAAGTGTAATGGATACTTTTCCTTGGAATCATTTTAATTATTCTTATACCCAAAACAATTATCAAATTTCTTCCAATTACAGAAGCCTAAGATAATGTGTCTAATTCCCACTGCAACCAACTTTAACAAATCAAAGTAGTCTGTCTCTAATTGTTCCTGTTAAACATAGATTGAAAAGATATACTTGAAAACTCATTGTACATAATCAACAGAATTTTCAGCTTCAAGTCCTAAACAGGGAGTATGAGAATCAACTAAAAGCAAAATCATAACTAAAAAGAAAACACTGATGCATAAGAATTTTCAAATTATGCCTGAATTTTTTTATAGCAAAGATGATACTACCCATGTTCATATTTTTTATATATATATACTTTGCAGACATTCATGAAGTATCTGCTTTTCAAAAAATATTTTAACATGCCATTTTCAGTAATAATTTCTAATAAGTAGGTATTATCTGTGTTAAAAGTCCTTTCTGATTCAGTATAATTAATATATTTAACTTTAGCATAGGCACTGTTTCTATAAAGAACCACAAGTAGCTATAAAAACATACGGTTAATAAAGATCATAAATAAGTTTCTACCTTAATATTATCATTTACTATCTGTATGTTACACTTAGAAAAGGACAGAATAATTTATATGGTCCATTTGATGCAAATTAAAAACCTATGCTTACGTCATTATTTGATATTTAATGCAATACTCACTTACACCTATGCCACTGCTTACTTGCTTTTTGTATTTGCTTCTCAGTTCCTTAGCTTTGCCCACATATAAGACTGCCTCTTTGCCCTTGATTGGTATTGCTACCTAAGTTCATTATCATGTGAGTATCTGGTTATTGTTCTATAAATGTTCATCTTTCAGAAGGCCAGTTTTTTTTTCCTTCTTGTCAGTGGACTTTATGCTAACCACACTCATTATCATCCTGTGGCAGGAGTGCTCTTCCTCTGCCTTAGCTGCTTTAAAAATTAATGCACGGTTATTTTCTGAATACTACATAAGCTGCTTATGAGTACATTATGCTATCAAGCAAGCAAATGCAGAAAAGCTTCCTAAACTGTTATTCTTTCAATGAAAATACAGCTGGTTCTGCTTCACAGGCACATCTTTTCACCTGCAAATGGACTGCTCCTACGCTTATTCCTCAATTCATTGTCTTTTATTTGTGTCTGGAAATCTTTAATTGCCTTTAATTAGGAAAAAGTAAACTCAGTGCCTTCATCTTGCAAATACATTCAATCATAATTCTTCTTGGGGTGAATACCAAGTTCTATTCACTGCCTGATCCATATAACAAAGATATATAATTTATTGTCCATTTATATAGACCACACCAATTAAGATACAATAGAAAAGCAGAGATGAGTCAAAATATTTGAAAAAAATGCAGTCTAAATTCAATTGCTCAAAGAAATTACTGGAAGATGAGTTATTTACAGGATGCCATAAATATTGAGAAAAAAATAAAATTTGGTAATCAACAGTAAAAACTTTTCTATTTCCTTCAACATTTTTAGAATAGTTTCCCATCAACTGCTCCAAATCCCTACCCCCTTCTTGAAAAAGCAAAAACACTATTTGGCATCTAATTTTTTCATGTTACCAAAATTACTTATGAAAGGGCAGTACAATTTGGCATATAAAGTAATTTCTCAACTGCCATATGAACACAATTTTAGTTACTACATTAAAAACTACAAATAGCCCAGCCGTTGTGGCTCAGTGGTTGAGTATCAACCTATGAACCAGAATGTTAGGGTTCAATCCGGTCAGGGCACATGGCGGGATTGTGGGCTCGATCCCCAGTAGGGGGCGTGCAGGAGGCAGCCTACCAATGATTCTCTCTCATCATTGATGTTTCTATCTCTCTCTACCTTTCCCTTCCTCTCTGAAATCAATAAAATTATATTAAAATAAATAAGCATTAAAAATAACTGTAGAAAACTCATTACAAAAGCAAGGGTCAATAGTCTTTCTTACGGAGTCCTATAGCAAACTCGGTAGCTATGTCAATAAACAAAGGGTCTGCTTTTTAATAGCTACAAGATGAATAAAATCATAAATGGCATGGTCACAGGCAAAAAATAATGAAAATGTTAGTCAAGTTGATAAAAATAATAAAACCAGAAACACAATAAAAAATTCATAGTATACTTTTATTGTCAGCAAGCCATACAAAATGATGCCACATAGTCACTTAAAATAAAAGGGGGGGGGGGGGGGGGGGGAATGTTACCTATAGAGGTAAAACCTGCAAAAATTATTTTTCTCAAAATTATTTAGAAATACCTAGGCAGATGAGAGGAAGCTGATAAATTAACATTTATAAATAAAAATCTCATGCAAACTTTTTAATATTATATTATAGAGGCAAATCAAATTAGTAATTTTTCAATGCTTGGTCAGAACAGCTTAATATTAGTCATGCATTGCAAAGGATACACCCTCACTTAATACCACATTAAGTACTAAGAAACAAGTGCCATGCTTTAGTTTGCTACTAAGGTAAAGCAACAAGTTGCTCATGAGATATAAATTATTTTCCAAAATAACCACATTAAAAATGCTAACCAAGCAACAACCTATTATGTACACAGGGAAATGTAACTAAGTGGAAGATGGTATAAAATATATCAACATTTACTTGGCACTTAGCCAAAACATGTTCACACTGCAACCTCTCGTTTATCCTTCAGTTATTTAGAAGGTTTTTTATTAACTTTTTTTAATTAAAAAAAAAAAAAAAAGAGCGGAATAGAAAGAAATGTGAAAGAGGGAGGGGATTAGGTAAGAAATTACCTTTTTTTGCTTCTGACTACTATCAATAGTTCATCACAATTTGTTCAGAGTTGTGGTTGTAGTATATTGATTCTTTAAAATTAGGGGTCTTGTTTGTAACTAGTATGTAATTTTTTATAAATACTCCACACATCCTTGAAAAGAATGGGTAGAAAAATCCTACATAGAGTATAGTCTAAAACAGATAAGCTTCTTATCTTCCTATGCTGATGAGTGGCAGTCCACCATTTTACTAAGGTAAAGGTTTAATGGAGAATTTGGAGGTTATCAAATTATTACTGTTAATAAACAAGAGAATTACAAGTTGTTACATGGATAAAAACAATTTAATAGATGATAACATTAAAAACACTGCCTATATAAAAAGCTTCTAGCCTTAAGAATAAACATATTTTTTGCTTTTATTAAATTAATAAAAACTATAAAAGCTTTGAAAAAAATTATAGTTACACAAAATGTATTTCTCCATTGGTAGGCAGGACTGCACATTTTTGCTCCTTAAAAACTCTCTATGGTCTTTTATTAACCATATTCTGTATGTTATATGTATTAGGGAAAAGTTATTTTCTTAATACAACATATAATTGCTTTTTTTCTTTATCTTAATTTGCAGAAATGTATCAAAGGGAAATTTACTGCTTACCAATTTGCTTTCTGTACTGATCAACAGGAAGCTTTATAGTGGAGGCATCTTTTCTACCCATCTTTGATCTCCAAAATGCCTTCTGCAAAGAAAAAAATAAATTATAATGAAATCCCAAAAAATCAAAAGCACTGGAATAATTTATTCCATAAAATTCATTTTTAAAGCAATGGGTAAAAGTGCCTTTGACTTATTCCCATTAGATATTAATAAGGAACCCAAAATTATTTCAAATACAGTATCAAGGATACAAATGCTGATAATTAAATTTCCCAATCATTTGTTCTTAGAACACTCATTTTATCAAGAACTATCAATGCTCAATTAAACCACACAGAGAGGGCACTGTCTGTAAAGGTGAAAATAAAGTAGTACTGTATTTATTCACATGCTTTGCAGCTGTAGGTATGCGCTGGACAGTGTGATTCTTTCAAATTACCTACTACACACCAAGGCTAACGTTTGAATCCCAGGTTCTTAAATTTTGTTTTATAAAACATGACGTAGGTAACAAAAGTTCATGAATTTGAACGCTAGTTCTGCCTCTCTTCAGTAAACAGTTTAAACTACAACCGTTTACTAACATTCTTATCCATACTACATTCTAAGCCCTGTTTGATTCAAATCTTTCAAATCCTATTATTTTTATTGAGTTTAAATATTGTGGCAGAGACAAGCTACTCTCCAAAATCCACATTCTCCTTTTCTTCCTGGCACAGAGCTAACTGTATTCCTCACCTCAGTTCAAACATGCGACTGAGTTGTTGTTAACGGAGTGTGAATGGAAGTGATGTGTCACTTGCAGACCTGAGCATTCAAGATCTCCCTTGTAGAGTCTTGAGATTTTCTTCCCCGTCTAATTAGCTAGAATGGAAATGATCCCCAGACAAATCCTAAGGGCACACTTACAGGAGCACAGAGCCTGGGCCAGCCTGGGCTGGAGGGCAGTTCTAACTTGCTCACCATCACAGTGCTCTACTGGAAACGGAGTGAACTTCTGTTCTGGTTGAGCACATGACGTACATTGGCGGGGTCTTATTACAGACCTAACAGTTCCCGAGTGGCCTGTAGGCTGTTCTTCTGCTTCTAGTAAGGATGCTGCTAGATAAAAAGGAGGTCTGACAACAACTGACCTGTATTTAGGCAAGGGAATCCAGAGCCAAATAATTTGGAGAATAACGAGGCTGAAAAAGCCAACTTCTAACAGCCAAATACTAGGAAATAAAAGTGAAAAAGCTGTTGAAGAACAAAGGCCTATTAAGACTTCTTAGTTAAAAAAGAAAGAGACAGAGAGACAAAGAGTGGGTTATGGATATTCCTGTCTCACCTTATCCTATCCTTTCAGATCACCTGGAAGCAGCCGCTACTAGGCAGAAGAAGGAAAGAACGGAAGTGCTGAAGTGCAGAAAGGAGGAAGACAAGAGAACCATGTCTAGGACGGAAGTTGCAGTGTGACTACTGGTACATGGAACTAAGCAGAAAGGCCAAGAAGGTTTTTAAAATTTGAGGAAACTGTATTTACAAGGAAAGCAGAGATTCTGTCTAAAATAAGCTGTGAGTGAAAAACCAAGCCTCGCTCAAACAAGGCAAACATTGCACATCTGTAGCATCCACTTCACACCAGACCGGGAAGGAGAACCGTTCAGAAGGCAGAGCCATGGAGAACAACAGACAAGAAAATTTTCCTTAAAAAAAAAAAAACCAGAATTAGGGTCTAAGTGTAAACACCAGCTCAAAATGGTCCTCTTACTTAACAAGACACTGAGTAGCTTTTCAGACAACAGACCCAAACCACAGGTCATGCAGTCGACGCATGCAAAGAGGAGAGAACTCTGACCTCCAGCTGCACGGGGAACCCAAGTTCCCCCGATCTCCTCCCCACCCCCCAACACTGAACCCTTTCAGAAGCAAAGGGCCCCTTTTCCAGGAAGACGGGTGCTGATGCGCCTTTACCATAAATGGCTCAGCTCCAAGGTCCTCCCCATTACAGCCTGTCCCACCAGCCCTGTCCAGCTGACCCGTTGGAGCGTCGTCCCCTATACCAAAAGGTTGTGGGTTCGATTCCCAGTCTGGGCACAAGCCTAGATTGCAGATTCAATTCTAGGTCAGGGCACATACAGCAAGCAACCAGTGGATATTTCTCTCTCACATCGATTCTCTCTCTCTCCCCCCCACTCCTTTCTATAAAATCAATAAAAGCATATCTTGGGGTGAGGACAAAAACAAAACAAGCTACCCCGCCAGCATTTCCACACACCTGCTCCACTTAGCCCCCTAGAGTAGGGGTGTCAAACTCAATCAGAGAAGGGGCCAAAATCTAAAATCCAGCCTAAATCGCGGGCCAAATGGTTTACTGAACAGTCATAAACTGTCATTGTGATGGAAACGCAGCGGAGTGCAGTGATGACAGCGCGGTGCGGGCCACATTGCAAGGCCTGGCGGGACGGATTTGGCCCGCGGGCCTTGTGTTTGACACATGTGCCCTAGAGACTCTCTCGAATGCCTGACTGGGAAGCTCAGGCTTTTGAACCCCAGCTCTCCCGTTCTCCTTGCTTAGAGCTCTGCAGATAAAGTGACTAATTTCTCCACTGAAATTCGCCATGTTAAGTGTTTGGCTCTTGCAGTGCTGAGTAGACAAACTCTCTGTTCCGTAACACAAGCAAATAACTTCTACTGTCAGGATAATGGGCCTTCTTGGTGGTCTCCTGCGCAGCAGGTGTCGGCATCAGGATGGATCAAGGACTCCTGTGCATTTCCATTCTTCTCTTTCAAAACAGCAGTAATTATTGGAGGGAAGATGCAGTTATCCTCTGCTTTACCGTTATTTATTAGGGACTAGTGGCCTGGTGCATGGATTCATGCACGTTGCCAGGAAATTAATTAGAAGAAATATTTTAATACTGCTACTCGCCCTTTCTTTATAATAGAAGTCTCAACCAAATTCACCACCAACAATCACAGATCAAAACACTGGCACCAGTGAGAGCTTTACATGTGTCACACATGCACGAGTCTATATCTATATATATAATAAACTTGCTTAATTAGACATGCTTTCTGATGTAGCTAAACTTATTCCAGCCCAGTGAAGCACCCCAACTTGTCTTTCAGGTAATTGTCAACAACACAGCAGTAAATATTAACACAAAGCATATTATTATTGTAGATCACGCAGGGAGAACAAAGGGTAAAATATTTAACTGCAGCAGTGTTTAACTATATTCTGGGCAGTGAGAAAACCTGAAGTCATTTTCAAGGTCCACCATTTCTTAATTCTTCTCAGTCAGGTCAAGTTTCTAAGCTTTTTAAATCTCCGTTTTCCAGCTAATGAAAAGAAAATAGGATTCCACTGAGTCTCCTATCTACCTACTCCAGGACTTCTGTGAGGATCAAATGAGATGAGGTATGGAAAATGCTTCACGGACATTTGGTTCAAGTGTGAAATGTTTGCACTTGGCTGTGAAGAAACTGCGAGGAGGATAGTTGTTGCGAGGGAGAGGAAGCCGGGCATTGCTATGTGATGTCACTACCTGGATGGAGGAAAGGACACTTAGCATATTAGCCTTTTATATATATAGATTGGTGAGACTGGAAAAGAGCAGGTAAATTTCATAGTCTGTAAACCTCAATGAAGCGCATTCCATTTTGAGAGGGGAGACTGCATTGGCTTTAGATCCTTGACTTTATCCTGGATGCGACAGGTGAGAACTTTAGGATTTCCCTTCTGGGAAGGCAGGAAGGAGGATGTGCTATTTCATGACAAGAAAGATAGATTACAGGGAAAACTGTTGGCTTCTCAATGAAGTGCAATTTAGTTTTGCTTTTCACCTTGATAGAATAACTTAAATTTTTACTAAGTATTCAGGTTCTCTCTTTTGTTTATTGAGCACACTGGACCACATTTTCCAGCCTCTTTTGATGCTAGCTGTGGGCATGTGACTGAGTTTCAGCCAATGAAATATGAGTAAACTGTTGCAACCGGTTTGGCTCAGTGGATAGAGTGTCGGTCTGCAGACTGAAGGGTCCCAGGTTCAATTCCCGTCAAGGGCATGTATAATACATTGGTTGCGGGCACATCCCCGTGGGGGGTGTGCAGGAGGCAGCTGGTGGATGTTTCTCTCTCATCGATGTTTCTAGCTCTCTATCCCTCTCCCTTCCTCTCTGTAAAAAAAAAAAAAATCAATAAAATATATCTTTTTTTAAAAAAGAAAGAAATATGAGTAAACTAATGTCTGCAACTTCTAGAACTAACCTATAAGAACTTTCCATATGTTACTCATTCATCTGGCTAAAATGGAGGTAGCCTCCAGAGTGACAAATGTGATGAAGATGGCAGACATTACGTCCTGGCTCCAGAGTGTCTGCAAAGAAAAGGGCTATTCAATCAACTTGTTTTCCTCTTTCATGCTGACATGAGAACAAGAAATAAATTGTAGCACATGGGCCTCTGTCCTTTTTTGTATCCATTAATTATAGTAAGTAGTATCACCCTAATTAAAACAATTACATTTAAATGTCTCCATATAAACAGATGTAACTGTGAAGGTATAGTTCTACTAATAAGTATTAAGGTTCTCAAATGCCAAATGAATTTGAATACGCTCAGACCAAACGGTACTGTTCACATATGTATATGGTCACACAGAGCAATGTTAGCAATGATCCCACCTGGCACAGTAACAGGCATCCCCAAATTAATAACGTTTACATGTGTGTTTAGAAAATTATAAACTCAGCAAAAATCCATTTTCTTTTCATAAAATCTTCAGATTTGATATTATGGTAATATTTAAGAATACACAAAGGAAGACAAAAGTCAAATAAATTACATTTTCATTCCTCATAAACCATGTAGTTATTAAAATACAAGCTAATACATCCTTAAAGTTCCAGAAATGAAACCAGGACATCACCTAACCCTATAGTCTCACTTTTAATAATTCAGAACATTAAAAATTAATACTGTTAATATAAAAACCATAAAAATGCCAAAATATATATTTATTCATACAGAAACTATTTGCATAGTGTTTTGTATTTCTTAATTGTAAAGAGGAGTCAAGTTATTTTTATTTTAATTGT